AGTCTGAAATGGCTTTCTTCACTCGAGTATGGTGGACCCACGGGGTGATGCCGGCAACCTTCACAGCAGTAGGGGTAGAGAGTAGCACAGTGTAGGGTCCCCTCCAGCAGGGCTGTAGGGGGGCTCGCTGCCAGTCTTTCACCCACACTTCGTCACCTGGCTCGAACTGATGGAACGGTTCAGTTAACACACATGGGGTGCGAGCCTGGGTCCACCTGTTGAGGTAAGAGAAAACTTGGGAGAGTGACTGTACATAGTTATTCAATTGTACATCTTGGCTAGCATATGGAGTTAACATTCTAACATATGGAACTGGTCTCCCAAACATAACTTCAAAAGGTGACAAATGGGTCCGTTTTGACGGGAGACTGCGGACCCTGAGTAATGCCAAGGGCAACATGGTCACCCAATTAGACCCGGTCTCCTGTGTCAGCTTGGACAGCTGATTCTTTAGAGTTCTGTTCATCCTCTCTACTTTTCCAGAACTCTGGGGTCTATAAGCAGTATGCAGCTTCCAGTTGATCTGGAGCGCTTTTGCCAGTCCCTGTAGGACTGCATGAACAAATGCTGGTCCATTGTCAGATCCTATGGACCTTGGCAGTCCATAGCGAGGGATGATTTCCCTAAGCAGGCACCTGGTTGCTTCAAGTGCCTTTTCAGTCTTTGTGGGCCATGCTTCAACCCATCCGGTGTAGGTGCACACTGCTACCAGCAGGTAGCGGTGCAGTCCACAACGGGGTAATTCAGTAAAGTCCACGACAAGATCTTCCATAGGTGCAGTTCCACTGTGCTGAATCCCTGGGGGAGCCAGTGGTCCGGCTCTGGGATTATTCTTTTGACACAGCAGGCATTTCCTGGAGATCTGGGCTGCCAGTTGGTAAAGGTGGGCTATATAGAAGCATTTTTCCAGCTGCTTGGTTGTAGCATCTGGTCCTATGTGGGTTGAATCATGGTATCTCTGAGTAACCTGCCGAGAAAGGGACTCTGGAATCCATATCCTGTCATCAGGGGTAAGGTACCATCCTTCGTTGGACAACGTCAACCCCTGAGCGTCTGCAGTGTCCCTTTCCTGCTTCGTATAAGCTGGCTTGTCAGTAGTGCTTAAAATCTCTTCTGGGACCAGTGCTCCAATAACCGAGGCGGGGGCCAGTTCTTGGGCTGCTTCCTTGGCTACTCTGTCTGCCAATCGGTTTCCTCTGGCCACTTCCCCTGGTCCAGTCTTGTGTCCATAACAATGGATAACTGCCACTGCCTCGGGCTCCCATACAGCATCCAGAAGGTTCAATAAGGCTTGTGGGTGGGCCACCTGGCTTCCTCTGGAGGTAAGCAAACCTCTTTCTTTCCATAAGGCTCCATGGGCATGTAAAGTCAGGAATGCATACTTAGAATCTGTATAAATGTTTATCTTCTGTCCCTTTGCCAGGCTCAGGGCTCTGGTAAGCGCAGTTAGCTCTGCCAGCTGGGCCGATGTTCCAGGTGGGAGTGACTTTGCTTCGATCACCTGGTCTTCCAGGGCAACCACTGCATAGCCTGCCTTCCGCTGTCCAGTCTCAACAAAGCTGCTTCCATCTACAAACCATGAAGGCCAGTGGGGTTTGCCTCATCTTTTAGGTCAGGTCTGCTGGAATATACTTCATCCATCACTTCAATGCAATCGTGCATCTGCTCCTCACCTTCTCCTACCGGCAACAGGGTAGCTGGGTTGAGGGCGGTGGTAACCTGGAACTTCAAACGCGGGTGCAACAATAGCATCTGGCACTTTCTCATTTTTGCTTGGGAGAGGAAATAGGTACCCTTCATGTCAAGCAGAGCTGGGACTGCATGCGGGGTCACACAAACAGTGTCTTGGCCAAAAGTAAATTTGTCTGCTTTGTGCAGTAGGGTGGCTACTGCCACTACTGCTCTCATGCATGGCGGTAAACCTTGTTCTGTAGGCGTCAGGCGCTCAGATAGGTATGCCACGGGCTGCTGCCAGCTTCCCAATTTTGGCATAGCACTCCCTTTGCTGTTCCCTGGTCTTCATCCACAAATAGGGAGAAAGGCTTCTCAGGATTTGGGATGCCCAGCGCTGGTGCTTGCTGCAATGCCTTTTTCAGATCCTTGAAGGCATGCTGTTGCTCTTCTCCCCACACAAAGGGGTCCTTTTCAGTTCCTCTGGTTGACTCATGCAGAGGCTTGGCAATTGTGCTGTAGTCTGGTATCCATATTCTACAGAATCCTGCTGAGCCCAGAAAGCCGCGAAGTTCCCTGCGATTCTTTGGCTCTGGAATCTGGATGATGGCTTGCTTCCTTTCTTCCCTTAGGGTCCGTCGCTGATGGGATATATCAAATCCAAGGTATTTCACGGTGGGTTGACATATCTGGGCCTTTTTCTTAGATACTCGGTATCCTGCTTCAGCCAGGTGATTTAACAAGTCCTTGGTGGCCTCCATACACGTGCTCTCGTCTGAACAGGCCAAAAGAAGATCATCCACGTACTGCATCAAGACTCTGCGCGGACTGGTGGGGAAGCTAGACAGGTCCGAGGCCAATGCAACCCCAAAAAGGGTTGGAGAATTCTTGAAGCCTTGTGGAAGCCTCGTCCACGTGTATTGCACCCTGGTGCCTGTTCCCGGATCTGTCCATTGAAATGCAAACAGGGGCTGACTTTCTTCTGCCAGGCGGCAACAGAAGAATGCATCCTTCAAGTCCAATACGGTGAAATAACATGCGGTGGGAGGTATTAGACTCAACAGCGTGTAAGGATTGGGCACATTGGGGTGGAGGGTCTCCACGGCCTGGTTGACTAATCTAAGGTCTTGGACCGGGCGGTACGAGCCATCTTCCTTCTTCACCGGCAAGAGTGGGGTGTTCCACTGAGATTGACACTGCCTCAGGATGCCATGGCGAAGTAACCGTTCCAAATGTACCCATACTCCTTCCGCAGCTCTTCGGGGGATAGGATATTGGTTCACAGCCACAGGGTTGGCGAATGGCTTGGGCTTGACTATTATAGGTGGGATGTTCTTTGCCATTCCGGGCGGGTTGCTTTCTGCCCATACACCAGGGTTAACTTCTTGCAGGAGGTCTTCTGGAATAATCCCCTCCTCTTCTTCTACCATCATTAAGCGCCAGTGTTCCCTCAAGGGTACCTCTAAGGAGAACTCTCCTGCTTGCCCTGTAGTCATTGTCACTTCTCCTGTCGGTTGGAAGGAAATCTGGGCTTGCAATTTTGATAGCAGGTCTCGGCCCAACAATGGGATGGGACACTCTGGTATATACAAAAACTTGTGTTGGACCACTTGGCCGCCCAGGCGACAGGCAACAGATTGCAAGAAGGGGGCTCTTTGTGATTTGCCTGTAGCTCCTATTATGTTAATTGTTTGCTTGGTGGGCTTGGACACTGGTACTGGCAAAACAGAGTGGGCGGCTCCTGTGTCAACCATGAAGGGGATGGTTCGGTTCCCTGTTTGTATTTTGACCATGGGCTCACGGGAACCTAAATCAGCTGGGCCCGGTCTGTCCTAGTATTCTTCCTCCTCCTCTCTCAGGCTCATCGCGGCGGGCTGTCTTTGGGCTGGAGGGTGCCAGGGAGGTCCCTGTCCACGTCCTCTACCCCTGCCTGTATTTGCAGATGTCCAAGGTCTCAGTTCTTGTCCAGGTCCCACGGGGATTGGGCCTGGGATTCGCTCTCCTCGTCCTCCTCCACCTGAGTGAGCTTGTGGGCATTCTCTTTTCCAGTGCCCTTCCTGCCGGCAGATGGCGCACTGGTTCCTCCCCAGACGGCCTTGCCCTCCTCCCCGGGCACTTCCTCTTTCCTGAGGGGTGGGTGCGGTAGCCTGTAGCGCCATCAACTTCTTTGCTTGATACTTCTCCTTTTTCTTTTGTGCCTCTTCCTCCCTCTGATTATAAGTGGTTTGAGCCAGTTCTAACATCCACTCAAGGGTGTGGCCCATGAACCCCTCGTGTTTTTGAATCTTTCGGCGGACATCGGGCGCCGCTTGGGCCACAAAGGCAGCTTTTATGATAGGGCGTTGGCAGCCTCATCTGGGTCCACAGGAGTATACTGGCGGTAGGCTTCCTTCAGGCGTTCTAAATATGCTCCTGGGGCCTCTTCATTCCCCTGCACTACCTCTCTAACCTTCACAAAGTTGGTGGGTTTCCTAGCTGCCCTTCTCATACCATTTAACACATTCTGGCGGTAGGTAGTGAGGATGTTCTGGCCATCAACAGTCTGATAATTCCAATTCGGGGTGTTTTCTGGATATCCTGCTGCCATAGCTGGATCCTGCACTCCCTGCGCTCTCAGGTGTGCTCGGGCTTCAGCATGGATTCGCCTAGTTTCTTCTGTGGTTAGCAGCGCATCCATCAAATACTGCACATCATCAAAGGTGGGATTATAAGTTTTAAAAATCCCTTCAAACAGCTTTATGATCTTCGCTGGGTTTTCCTCAAAAGATGGGTTTTGATTTCTCCAGTTACAGACATCTGCACTTGAAAAGGGTATATGCTGGACCGTATAGGTCCGTTCTGCTGCTGCTCCATTAGTCCCTGGAGGTCCTGGTGGGTCATAAACCCTTCGGAGGGGCATTACTCCGACCCCACCCTTTTCTGTGCCTCATGGGACTTATGGAAGGCTGCCCTGGTTGCTGCTTCTATCCATTCCCTCTGCCATTTCTTCCCTTGTGTTGAGGAGCATCCTGCTGCAGCCAACACGTGGGGGCTAACATCCACTTCTTCTGCATAGGGTTGTACATACTGTTGCAATCTCAAAGACTGATACTGAGTCCACTCTCTTCCCTTCTTTGCTAACTCAACCAATCCCTTTACAAATTCCTCATCATCGTCTTCTTCTTCTTCTGATTCATTAGCCTTGGGGGGTTCAGGCTGGGGGCTAGCTCCTCCCGGTGCCTGGGGGCCTGGGTCCAGGGAGGGGCAGTTGGTGGAGCATAGGGTGGAGGTGGTTTAATGACTTCCCCTCCTCTTCTTCTGGGTCTGGTATCACTGGGGGCTTTTCTGACTTCCCTGTCGGTCGAACTGCACAAACTGTACTTTGTGGGCGTCGCCTCGGCAGGCTTTCAACCACGATGGGTTCTTTTCTACATTGGTTTTCCAAGTAGAAATGTAGGGGATCTGGTCTGGGTGGACGTTCAAGATATTTCGATACAGTGGGTTGATTAGTTGCAAATCGAAGCTCCCCTCCGAGGGCCAGTTAGTTTGTTGCGAGGGCCAGTCAACCTCACATAATGTTCTCATCCTCCGTTGCCTCAATTTGATTCCCCAATCATCATGCTTTGTGGCTGCTTTCCAGTTGTTAAAAAACATTCCAGAGGACTACATTGGCTTGCCCCAGACCCCATTTTCAGATACTCTGCTGCTAACAGGTTGTAAATTCTTTCACTCTACACACACTACAGCCCTACAATCGCTCGGCCAAGGGGGACACTAAGCCCTGGCCCACACTTGACAATTCAGTCACTAGAGTATCTGACATGCAACATACAACATACAAAACACATCAATATAATTTCAACATGTAACACACTAGACACACCAAAATAATTTCAGCATGCAATACACAAAACACACCAAAATAATTTCAACATGTAATACACAAAACACACCAAAATAATTTTCCCCTCTTTTGCCCCCGTTTTTTTTTTTTTTTTTTTTTTTTTTTTACCAAACCTTACCGGTGGCACACCACTGCCACGCCCCTTTTTTTTCCTTCCTGGCTGCACTCTACTGCATAACCAGGTGAGGCTGATCAGGCCTCCCTCTTTTCCCTTGGGCTCACGCCCACGCCCTTTCCCTTGGGCTTACCGTTTTCTGCTGCAGATTCCCTTCCCTGGCCAGTCCTCTTTCCTCCCTCGACCTGGGTCCTTGCTCCGGAGCGGTGTGGCTGGCTCCCCCCACAAATTGGCAGGGTGCGCGTGGAGCCTGCAATTGCCGATCCGAGCTGTCCACCAAGGTCGAGCCTGGCTCTCCCCAGCCCTCTGAGGTGGGGCAGATTCCCGGTCAGGGAACCAAGATGTAGGCTGAGCCTAGTCCATGCCAGGGAATCGTTGGCCCGCGTCCTCAGATCCAGAGAGAGAGCAAAAGAAAGCACCAGGAAAGATCCTTCTTTGGAGGAAAACAGTTTATTCTCTGTGCACAGTGACAGCCAGCAGAATAACTTCTGGAAGACTGGCTGCCCAGAAATACGCCTCTGCAGACTTTCTTATACCTTGAGAAAGCTCCCTCCCTCCTCCCGTCTCCCTCGTATGTGTCTTTCTTATCTTACATTCCTAAAGTAAGAAAGCGAGGGGCCTCTGGTTATTTCTAGCTTACAGTCTCCTTCATATGTGTCTTTCTTATCTTGCATTCCTAAAATAAGAAAGCGAGGGGCCTCTTTTGCAGAAGTCAAATTAGCTCAGAAATTTACTTAGATCCAAAGTACAGAGAATATAGAAGATCCTTCTTAGGTACAAGGTACAAGGTATAGAAAGCATATAGAAAGCAACCCTTCCCTCTCCCTTCAAGCCCACTGCATCTAATAGGATGTAAAGGTAAAGGGACCCCTGACTGTTAGGTCCAGTCGCAGACGACTCTGGGGTTGCGGCGCTCATCTCACTTTATTGGCCGAGGGAGCCGGCATACAGCTTCTAGGTCATGTGTCCAGCATGACTAACCCGCTTCTAGCGAACCAGAGCAGCGCACGGAAACACCGTTTATCTTCCTGCCGGAGTGGTACCTATTTATCTACTTGCACTTTGAGGTGCTTTCAAACTGCTAGGTTGGCAGGAGCAGGGACCGAGCAATGGGAGCTCACCCCGTCGCGGGGATTCGAAACTTCGACCTTCTGATTGGCAACCCCTAGGCTTTGTGGTTTAGACCACAGCACCACCCGTGCTGTGTACAGTGGTACTTCGGGTTACAGATGCTTTAGGTTACAGATGCTTCAGGTTACAGACTCCGCTAACCTAGAAATAGTACCTTGGGTTAAGAAATTTACTTCAGGATGAGAACAGAAATGGCACAGCGGTGGTGCAGCAGCAGCGGAAGGCCCCATTAGCTAAAGTGGTACCTCAGGTTAAGAACGGACCTCCAGTTTCAGGTTAAGAACGGACCTCCAGAACGAATTAAGTTCTTAACCCGAAGTACCACTGTACTAGGTAGTAGTACTGTGTACTAAGATGTACTCCTTAGCAACATGTAAACAACTTCAGCATTGCTCCTGATTACTAAGCATGTTATCATTGCAACTTTAAAAAATCTGCTTTCTCTCTGGGAAAAGGCTTACCACATCATTCTGTCCTGAAGGCCAAGGTTCAAAATGACTGTTTCTTTTATGAAACCTCCAGGTGTTGTGGTGGGCTTCCAACAGCCCCAAGGGTGATGGGAGCTGTAGTCCAACAACAGCTGGCAGGGGCCATAGGTTCCCTGACCCTGTTTCAGGACAATTTCCCATGGCAGCTGGTCATAGGTAGTGTACCATACCCTCCAACATTTCTCCGATGGAAATAGGGACATCCTATTCCATAATAATTTTATTATTTATACCCTGCCCATCCGACCAGGTTGTCCCAGCCACTCTGGGTGGCTTCCAACATATATAAAAACATAATAAGACATTAAACATTTAAAAAAGCTTCCCTATACAGGGCTGCCTCCGGGGTCACATAATTCCACCTGCAAACTAGTGACAGTCTGGAAATGGTCCTGATGGTGAATGATCTAGAATTAGCATGAGCACAGGAACTGGTCTGGCAAGATCTTTGCCCAGGCATGCCTGTCAACGACTCTGCCTTCTCTGATGGTTATAAGTTCAGTTGCTGTCCTGCAAGGCAGGAGGACAAGTCAGAGGCATAAGACGTGCAGTGGCTACTAGCAACAACGGTTATGCTCAGACTTCAGAGTTGGAGGCAGCGATGCTTTTGAGCACAAGTTGCTGGAAACCACAGGAAGGGAGACAGTGCTTGTGCTCAGGTCCTGCTTTCGGGTTTCCTGCAGGCATCTGGTTGACCCCCCCTAAGAACAAGATGCTGGACTAGAATTATGGAGAAGGCTCCTCTTGTGCTTCCTGGAGATAAACTTGCTGCTGTTTATCCCTCTCCCAGGCCAGCGAAGCTGTTATGTACTGAGTTGAATAGGATCCAAAATGCAGCAGCCTGATTGGTCCTAGAACAATAGGATTCAGAATGCAGCAGTCTGATTAGTCAGAGAACAATAGGATCCAGAATGCAGCAGTCTGATTGGTCCACAGGAGCCACCCAATCCAGCTCCAGGTGGAAGTGAATCCGCAACCTGATTGGCCCACAGGAGAATCCCGGAATTAGCCAATCTCATGGGGCCCATTGTGTAAATACTGTATATAAAGCAGACATTCTGAGGGAACTTCGATTCCTCCTCACCACTATGAGCTGAATAAAGAGCATGAAATCCACTCTCGACTCCGAGTATATTTCAGAAGCGAAGCTGGTCATCCAAACTTGAGCTCATGATGGTACAGCTCTGTCCTCTCTGACTACAAGCTGAGGCCAAGGCCTTCAGAGCGAGACGTTCTTGAGACAGAAAGGGAGCGATCGAAATCTCCATCCCTCTTCATCAGGCGAAACTGTTGCACAAAGCAAGGGGTTTGAGGAGGCTGAGTCATAGAATCTGTGGTCTGAAGGTGGAATTTCCTGGTTTCTTCTTTTTTCCAGCTCCTCTGAAGCAGAAGTAACAGCTGCTCACAGAAGACAGCGGGGAAATCTAGAATTTCAGCATAGCTGTGATTGGGCACGGGCAGTGTGTCCAACCAGAAACAAAAGGCGGTAGGCAAATGGGATATGGTGTTCTCCGAACTTATTTCGAGTAAAAAGAAATGCGCTTGATTAGATACACACACACATACATGCTGCGGTCGTTTACACACACTTCTGAGTAGCCAGGCCTAGAATTGCAGAATTGAAGGTGTGATGTGTCTGTCTGCATGCTAGTCGACAGGGCACAAGGTTTCTACATGCGGTCAAGCACTGTATTTGGGCTTGGGCAGGGCAAGGGAAACTTTGAATAGACTGACTTTTGTTTCAAGCCGAAGGGCATAGTGCGTGGTTGTTGTTTCACTGTACGTCAGAGCCAACCTCTCCTTTAATATGAAATATGAACCGGGGACTACACTGTAGGGCTGTTGTAAGCCACAACTTCCCCTTCCCTCCGCACGATATAGACATGTTATTTATTTATTATTAATTTTGTTCCACAAAATTTAAATGCCGCTTGATTGTAGAAGAAACTTCAAAGCCATTCACAAAAAAGATAAAACAATAAAATCATCACTTAAAAGAAAATAATTGCAACCATAATTTTAAAAAAATATACAGGAAGTTAAAACCGCAACCAAACAGACTAAAACAAATTAAAACTCATACAAACTCTCTAAACATCCGGGTGGGCTTGTCGAAATAGGCATGTGTCCAGCAGGCGCAAAGAAAAATACAGGGAAGGCGCCTGCCTGATATCAAGAGGCAGGGAGTTCCAAAGTGTCCGTCCTAATTTTTAGAAAATACCTTTTGAGATAGCGCCCTATGCTCCGGCCGTTATACGCCTTTTGAAGGCTGAGGAAACCCTACCTCATTAAGGAAGACACAGGGGGAAAGCTGGCCCAATGGCCAGTGCTGCTTTCTCCCACTTATTATAGTTTATCTCATTCTGCAGAAATAGAAGTTTTAGACAGCGTGCAACTCTACCCTTTTCCCCGCTTCCTATCTCTATGGTTGAAATGCCGGCCGCCCTTAGTACGCGCGGCGCGGCTACCCTCCCACACAGCTCCACCTTAGGCCACGCCCTCGCGTGCGTGCGTGCGTCGTCTGTACGCGCTTCTTTGCATTCCCCGCCTCCGCGCTTTGCCGGGCTCAAGCTCCACCCCCCTCTCCGTCAGTCGAACCCCGGCCAATCAGGTCCGCCTCTCTGACGCACAGGCCGGCACCTGCGTCCCGCCTCCCGCGGGTTCCATCCTCCCCAACAACACCTCAGGCCACGCCCCCGCGTGCGGTGTTTGTCGGTTTCCTATGCTCCGCCCCCGCGCCCGCAGAACGCGCTGTGCCAGGCTCAAGCTCCGCCCCCCGTCTGGCGAACCCAGCCAATCGGGTCCGCCTCTCTGACGCGCGCAGGCCGGCACCTGCGTCCTGCCCCGCCTCTTTCCCAGGAGCTGTCAGAGAGCCGTTGTCGGTTGAGGGAGGAAGGTGCGCGAGGTGGAGCAGGTAAGCGACCCCCCTCCTCAACGCGCCGGCGCGCTCTCTCCCCGTTTTTCGTCACTGGCCTCCCTAACGGTCACTCACTTGGCTCCCTATTCCCTCACCGCGCGGGCCTTCTGGGGCTCAGCCGCCGCCTCCTTCTCCTCAGGCCGAGGTGCTCGAGCTCCCTCCCCCGAGCAGGGGGCGAAAGGGAAGGTGGAGGAGGTGGGCAGACAGCAGGTAGGCAGCCTAAATAACCGCTGTTCAGCAGGCAGTGCAGATTTTAAGGCTTCCCAATGATAAGGCCGCATTGTTCTTGTCGTTGTTCTTGTAAAACTTAACTGGTTTTTAAAATGTTATTCCTCAAATTAAGTATTATTTTGTTCTGCCTCTCAGAATTTAAAAGCGTGCCTATGAATTCTTTAATTCTCTTTATAAAAAATAAAAAAATTGCCATATACAAAAGCCTTCGGTTTCAAAATATAGGTGCCCCTTAAAGCTGAATGGTTTGTTAATACTTCATAGGATTGCCAGAGTTGGGGGTCATCTAGTCCAATCCCTGCTTGCCCACGGTGCGGGCTTGAACCCAGGGCCCTGAGATTAAGAGTCTCGTGCTCTACCTAGCTGAGACTACTTGCTATAAGATATTTCTTCTGAGCTGCCTTTCAGGATGTAAAAGCGCCCCTGAGGAGGTTTGCCACTGTGAAATTGAACATACAGTGGTACCTCTGGTTAAGTACTTAATTCATTCCGGAGGTCCGTTCTTAACCTGAAACTGTTCTTAACCTGAAGCACCACTTTAGCTAATGGGGCCTCCTGCCGCCGCGCGATTTCTGTTCTCATCCTGAGGTAAAGTTCTTAACCCGATGTACTATTTCTGGGTTAGCGGAGTCTGTAACCTGAAGCGTATGTAACCTGAAGTGCATGTAACCCGAGGTACCACTGTAAACCCATGTACAAACCATTAAGTTTTAAAATGGAGAGCTAGAAACACACACACACCCCTTGAACTGAACGAAGCAAGTTAATCTGCCAGAGTTCCATCAGGGGGAAAGGTGGGGTGTAAATAAATGTATAAAAATAATCCAAAGTTCAGCAGTTAATTTAAAAAACAACAACCCCAGATGAAAATGGAAATTGTTTCTTGTATTTTTTAATTATTTATTGATTGTGGGGGTGCCTGAGCAGTATACAGTTGGCATAAATAAAAGTTTAGCATCACATTAAAATATATCTTATCTATCTATCTTTCAGTGATGGGGAACTTGTTGGACTCCAGCTTCCATCATTCCTGATCATTGGCTACACTATTTGGGGCTTATGGGAGCTGAAGTCCAACAACATCTGGAGGGCCATGGGTTCCCCACCCCTGATTTATAGTGTTTTTCCTAAGTGTTTCAGGTCACTTTGCATATATTGTCTTGACAGTTCTCACCGAAAAAGTGTGAGGTAGAATGGTGTTGTTGTTAAACTCTACTGCAGACAGTAGCTTGAAGCTGAGGAGAGCAGCACCAGCCTAATTCTGTAGCATGTCCTACTTTCTTCATCAGACTTCTGCCTTCTGTATACAGGTTTATCGCCCAAAGAACATTACTTTTTTTTTAACTTGTTCAGATATGTGTCAAAATGGATCATTAATAAGACTTGATCTATTTAACAAGTACCTTTTCACTAGGGAAATGTGTCATGGTGAACAATTATTGCATGTCCTAATAACTGATCTCAAAACAGTGTGCAGGCTTGTTTATTTATTTACAATAGCTTCTAAAAGGTTTTTAAAAACCTCTAGCAAATGTTAATACTCAAAAATTACAAGGTTGCTGCCTTAGAGAGCTTATCATTGTGGGGGGAATGGACAGCTCATTTTTGCAACTGCTATGTATCAGATCTTTCTGTACTTCAAACAGATAAATCCCCATTATATAAATGAATTTTTAAAAATGCTTTCCACATGTTCTCTCTGACATTTGATGGCTTGCTTAGAAAGTTACTTATCCTAACATCCCATTCCCATGCTTCAATTATTCAACCACTGGCTTCTTTAAAACTTTTAAACTCATTACAACACGGTGAAGAAGTTAACAGAAGTTAAGAGTACAGATACTGTATTTACTTGAGTCTAATGCACCATCTAATCTAATGCACACCTCAGTTTTCAGAACCTTGAAACCAAAATAGTATTTGCTGGTGAATGTAAATGTGCTATCGAATCTAATGCGCACCTTAATTTTTGCAACCAAAAAAGGTGAGCGTTAGATTTGAGTAAATACTGTATGGTAATTCAATATGCATCATTTTCTCAGTTCATCTCCTAGTGTAAAACTGAGGTGACAACGATGGTGTGTGATGCCAAATGAGACTGGGAGTGGGAGCTTTTAAAAAAAGCAACTCAAAGTAACAACTTCACTAGAAATTGAAACTAGAGGTGGCCTTCCTAGAGCAGCCTCAGGCCTAATTTGTGCAGATAGACTCTGGTGAAGAAGAGAAAAGGGGTGTGTGGGCAGGGAGGAGTGGGAGAGGGGAAATGGGGTGGCAGAGAGAGAGAGATAGCCCCACTCAAAGACAACCCCAAGGCAATCCATGTTTTGACTGGAAAATAATTCCCCATATGTAATTTAATATGTATGGTGAGAATCTGCCCCAAGAATGCATGCAGCTGTTGTGACTGGCAGTGGAAGTTGTCTTTTAGTGGTTTTTGATACAGCTCTGTGCATGCAGGATGCCCTATTTTATTTATTTATTTATTTTTTTTTAGAATTGATATTTATTAAATTTTCAAAAAGTAACAAGTAACAACAAAAATTTCCAAAAAAGTTTGAAAATACAAATAAAACAAAAATAATACAGAAATAATAAAGAAGAAAAAACCCAGCCGCAAAAAGAAAAAAAGAAAAACAGAAAAACAGAAATATAAAATCCTTTACGATCTCCATTAACTTCCTTTCTAGACTTCCTCCTCCTTCCCTCTCTTGTTTCTTAGTATTTAATTTTTACAGCAAATCCTTTCTGTTTTTCATAACAATCTATCATTGCGTTTCCTTATTCTATTTTCCCTCTTGTCATATAAAAACTTTAAAACTCAAAGCTTATATTCAATATTTAGCAAATTCTTACATCATTACCTTTTTTCAAATCATTTACCAATCCTTACTTAAGTCATATAATTTCATTCAACATCCTTCAAACATTTATAAACATTCCCAATATTAAAAAATAAGAAAGCAAAAACAATAAGTCAGATTCAATCCAGTCAACTTCCAGCCTCCCCTCCCCTGGACCCGGGATTGTCAGTCCTTTTAACCTCAATAATCCAGCTCCTTAACCTGGTTGTCTCGTATCCGAGGCCCTCAAGTCTCTTTCTTGCCCCTTTCGCCACTCTTGTTGATATTTCCCTTTCAGTCGTGGATACTCCAGCAAGAAGATGCTTTTGACTCTTTGCAGCAAGTCCATCCCAAACCCATTACCCAAGCCAGACAGCAGATAATACCACTTCCAATTTCCACAAAACTTGGAGACTTCGACTACTCCATTCCTCTGATGGCCCATCACTAGACTCGGAAAGTCCCACATTTCATCTTTCCGAATCAGGTTTGTCCCAAGTTCATTCATCAAGTTCAAAGACTGATCTTGCCCATCCATAGGTCCCTCCATCTCTGAAGCCTCCGTCGCTACAGCAGGTTCATATACTTGTATAGACTTTAACTGAATTTCATTTGTTTGCTGCTGTGCTCTGGTAACTTCCGTCCTCATCAAGGTCGACTCCTGACGCATCTGGTCCAGCTGGGCACTTAATTTTGCAAAACCTTCCAGGAACACTTGTTCAAGCCTTTGTACAAGCATTGTCCTTCAAGGTCAGAAAAATTCTTTCCCACGAGAATGATCCTTCACTTTTAAACTCCCGGCATTGCAATTTCACTCAGTTCCACTAGATGGAAAACCCTTTTTTTTTTTTTTTTTTTAAAGGGGGAAAAACAACAGTAACAATCTTTCTTTTTCCAGAAACACTTTATCCAAAATTCCCCCTTTCAAATTCAAGAGGCAACAGTAGAATCAAAATGTTACCCTTCTTTTAACTATCTGTCGAGCTGGATAAGCTTCAAAACGTCAGTTCTGACAGCCCGCTCCTGGTTCAGGGCGGTGGAAAATTACTTTATTTTAAACTCACTTCCGCAGGGTTGAAAAGATCAAAACAACCCCCTTCTTCTCCTGCAATCAAAGGGGGTTCAGAAATCTTAGATGTTGAATTTTAGTTCTCTCAGAATTTAGTTTTCAGGCTTTAGTATAATTTGTCTTTGCTTTCTTCACGTAACAAAAGAACGGAAGGCGACTTCCTGTTTAGACCTTTCCGTTCCGAGTCCCAATTAAATTCAATTTCAAGTTCAAGTCCAATGTTATTTATTTATTCACCAATCTTAAAAGTAGTTCAGCTCTTCCAGGATCGGGTACTCACGGATAGATGTTTTAGATGCCAAATTGTCCAGGAAAAGGCAGCGCTCTCCGAAGCGGCAGTGCGGCTTTGCTGCACGGAGGAAGCAGACGACTCACAGCACCACGCACCTCCCACTCCGGGCCCGTTGCCGGGCTCCTGGCCTAGGGAGAGAGCGCTCTCGGTGCCCGCCGAGTCCCACGCCCACAGGCTTCTTCCGCCTGTGGTTTTAAGGGTCCCCGCTGCGCCGTAGCGGCAGGACCCAAGCCTCCGTGCAGCGGGTTCCCTTCAGTTCGAAGGGAATTCCGCCATTTTCCGGAGCGCCACCC